GCTAAACCTACACGAGTTCACGAATCCAACACGGCGCTTTTGAATTTTAGCGCCTTAGATAGTTCTGATAATCGTCTAACAGTTTTGCAACGTTGGAAAGCATCGGAATGATTCAGAATCACTGCGGAGTTGATACTCGGGAAGATAAGACGGGCACTTGGGAGAAACGGACCGTGGCATTTGAGACAGGGGCACAACCGGGGGACAAACGTGCTACAATCGCATACCCTTCCAAGGTCATCGCTTGGGCGACCGCGCGCGCGCCCAAGAAACCTTTTTTTTCTTCTTTTTAGGGGTGGTGGTGGGGGGGGAGGGGGGGGGGGGGGGGAGGCGAGTGGTGTAGGCGCTGATTGTCTTCCTCCTTTGTGGCTTTTGACAGACGCACAACGAGACTGGCAGAACAAGCGCATGATTCATTTCTTTGGATGGAGGCGTTCTGTCTGTGTATGTGAACATGATTTTTTTCCCCTTTTAATAGTTAGTTGTTCTTGCCTTGACTCGGGTCCCAGTGGGTGCGTTGTCGTTGTATGCCCACTATTTTTTATTTTTTTTTTAGTTTATGGTAGTTTTTGCGCTGATGGGGTATCAAGGTAGACAAAAATAAAACAATAATAAAATAGCGCCTCGACAAAAAAAAAAAAAAAAAAAAAAAAAAGTTGTTGCGATCAGGAACGTTTTCAAAGCGATTTTAGGAGCCTGCAGCGTTACCACAGGTGCAGGATTGAGAGCGTAACCTACGCACTTGAAAAGAAGGGGAAGCTCTCGTCTTATAGGAACTCTCTTTTATGGGTTTCCACGTCGCGATTGTCCTTCAAAATCAACTGTCATTTATTTCTCGCTCGTGGCTTCCAAGTACTGGAAGCCACGACTCGAGCCACAATAGTTTTGCGAAATCAAGGTTTCGCTGAAATGGATAACTCTCACGTACAGTTCGACGCGCAATACCTTTGCCGTATTGACTCGCGAGAGATGCCCCCAGCACGGCTGAGTATGGCGGTTCTCCAGACCTAACATCTAAATTTTGTTGCCTTACCTGTTACTATTTCGCGCGCATTTTGAGCCATATCAAAATGAAAGCGCATGATGAAATAAAAATGACACTCGTTTTCCGCTCGATGGAAATTTCACGCCAGCTCGCTGTCTTTGCTGGTACCTTGAGCGTTTACCAGCAATGCAGAGAGTTAAAAAAAAAAAAAACACGTACGATGGCATCCCTCCTCGTATCCTTTTGTTTTTCTTTCATGCTACTAATTTCTTTGTGGGCGGCATTACGGCTGTTACGACGCTAAGTCTGTCTGCCCTTCGAATTTGAACTTAGGCTCAGATCAGGGACGAACCAGTTTAAATCGGGAAAATATAATTAACACTGTAGGAAAGTAAATCTATCATATCGATCGGAAATACGATTTAGCACATTCCATCTGAACACATATTGTGCACAGCGAATGCAATAGCGAGTCAGCGTGCAAAACGCCGCCACACTGAGCTACCATAACATGTCAGCGATTTTTGCATAGCACCGAGCACGGAAAAGAGAAAACAGTTATTCATTCACATAAACGAAGCAAATTTATTTAAAGCCCGGACGTCCAATCTAGCTAAGGTTGAAAAAACGGATAAAAGACGTTGGCAAAAATGATTAGACTGAATAAGTGAATCTAACGCACGTATTTTACCAACCGGCGGTCGCGCGCCTTCAATACTCTTTCCAATTGTCATTGCGCACCTTGGACACAGTTTGGGGAGCAATGCATATTTACATCGCCGCCCGAGGTCTCCATTGAACGTGTAGTGCTGACCCAAATAAAATGCTAACCTGACTCTCAATCGCTCACCGCAAAGGACGATTTCGAACAGGCGGTACTGTAGGTCACTTGAGATAATAAAAAAAAAAAAGAAAAACAAGCTATAGAAACGAGCGTCGTAAAAAAAGGGACCGGCATTTTTATTTCTACCTCCGAACAGAAACGAGCGCCACCCACTGCATCACACAGCGCAGAGGCCGGACTCGGCCACCGCGCGTACATACCAAGCGCGCGCGAGGGAAGGAGAAACTTCCTCCGCCGGGAGAACACGGCACATTTCGGGATCTATTTCACGCAGCGGATAACGCGGGCCTTTTCACACCTCGATACTGGCGCCATCTAGAAGTTGCGCGTTCAACCACGTTTCGAGCCGCGCGCCATCTGGTGGCTGAAACGGACGAATAAATAGAGGTACCGCGCAGTCATTGGATGTCACGCGTTCGATGGTCAAATATCACATACTATACGGTCACGTAATGTTACATCTCAAATCACGTCCAAAACCAGCCCCACCCCGCAGCCAAAAACCGTACCAAGTTAAAATGTTTCCAACGTGTTATGGTCATCTCTCACAACACGGGAAGGTACTTAAGGCCCATACGCACATTCGCGTTTGAGCGCGGTGCGTTCCATAGCGGCAAGCGGACGCGTTGCGTTGCGAAGAGCGCTTGCGCCAAACGTGTACGCACAGTTGCGTTGACACGCAGTCAACCGCAGTCAAGAGCCAATAAGAACGTTGCTATCGTCGCTGGCGGCTCACCAATAGTAAACGAAATCCAAGGCAACATGGCGGCGCACAGCGACAGCGTCGAAGCGTTCGATCTTGGTACAATCCCGCCGGCTTCCCCGACGTTTTGTCAAGCTTGAACCATCGCAGCCTTGGAAAATACAGTCCCCACCTCTCCCCAAACCGAAAAAGCAAGCACTGCGGGCGGAGAACCGGATACGTCTCGCCGAGTCGGCCGGGTGGGGCGAGCGAACACGTCACCCCCTCTCTTCTTTCGGCTGCTGATTGGTCGAACGCACCGCAACGCTTCGGAAAGTTGAACGAGTCTCTACTCGCTTGCGACGCGCTACGGAGCGTTGCGGGTAGGCGCGCGTCGCACCGCAAGCGACCGCTCCTGGGCGCAAGGACGCCGCAACGCACTCAAACGCGTTCAAACGCGAATGTGCGTATGGGCCTTTACGTTTTGTCCTTAAAGGGGTTATGACACGCCAAAGATAAAATATGAGATAACTATGCTGCTAGGACCCATTGTATGTTCCTATAATCCTACTAAATTTGTTTTGAAAATGGCGCGGTAGTTTTGTGGAGAAATCGATTTACATGGGGGTTTATCGGGTCCGCCCCATTTGAAAAGGCCGCCGTGGCTGGGAGGCTGGTGACGTAGCCCGCCTCCCGAGCGACGTCCCTTGCATGAACTCACAGACTTGGCTCTCTTGGCGTCTCGAGATTCAGCTTCCTCGTTTACCATCCGGGTTTCAAGCATGCGGTCTGTGACGATTACTTCTACGGCATCGCTCGCCTTGTCAGAGTGTTCGACATTGATCGCGGCAGCGATGAGAGGGATTGCTATCAAGAGATGTTGGAAGCTATTCATTTTGACTGCGACCCGCTGGCGACCAGTTCCAGTGACGGCGAGTTATGGACGAACTCGCCGTGGTCACCGTCGTCCGGGAATATCGCGCAGGCGCATGCAGGGTGGAATGTCAACGGGCCGGGGGCGAGAGCGAGAACAGCGTTCGGGTTACCGAGTTGCGTGAGGGGTTTTGATCGTACCGCAGCGAGGAGAGCTTGGGCGATCGTGGGGGCGCCTAGAATGAGAGAGCGTCGATGATCACGTGGTTTAGGGAAACCAAGCTGTGACTAACTTGGGCAGTGTTGCCTGGTCGCTTGAGGAAAATCATAAAAATTCGTAAATTGATTATTTTAATTACCAGAGCTGTAAAAATCGCGAAACTTGGTGTATATACTAAGAAGCCCATGGGTATCCCATTTCAAGAGTAATCTATCCGTTTAATTTTCGTGTCATAACCCCTTTAAGGTCCGTTCTCACACTGGCGACCGACTACGATTCACTGAGATAAGACCGGTGTTTAAGAATCCTACGACGGCTTGCAACCGGATGCGCTGCTTCGTAGTCGGTCGCAAGCCGTCGCAAGAGGCGTAAGAACCGGTCTTGTCTCAGTTGGTCATAGGAAAACACAAGTTTGTGAACGGCCCGTTCACACCCTTCCGTTTGTCTACGACCAACTACGACCGACTTTGACGCGACCGGTTTTTAAGTCTCTTCTGACGGCATAGAACCGTCTGCACTGTTGCGGAGCCGGTCGTAAGCCGTCCCGAAAGGCTTAAAAACAGGTTTTTATCCTCCCCGGTCCTAAGAAGTCCCAAGTGTGTGAACGGAACTTTAAAGGCTGGTTCACGCGTTTGCAACCGACTACGACCGAGTCCGACCAAACCGGTTTTTAAGCCTCTTCTGAAAGCTTACGACCGAGGCGCGCAGCGGCAATGGCGGTCATGAGCGGCTTAAAACCCTGTTTTGTTGGACTCGGTCGTAGTCGGTTGCAACGGTTTTTGCCAGCCATTAAGCGCCGTTCACGCACTTGCAACCAAGTACGACCGAGAGAGACAAGACCGGTTTTTCCTACTCGGTTGCTAGCGTGTGAACGAGCCTTTACACTCTCGCTAGAAACCTGCCCTGTGAGCCCAAGGGCATATTCTGCGTGAAAATCAGTCGCTTTAGGAGGCGCGACTCTCCGCATGACCCGTTGTACAACTAGATCCGCCTGTCGAACGTTCCACGAAGATTCGATGGAAGAAGAGGTCGATAAAACGAAAATATTTAGCCCAATGTCCCAAAGAAACGAAGAAAGCAATACATCTGTGGGATGATTAAAAGAGCATGTGTTTTGTTTAAGTATCGTCACAAATATTAGGCGCTGGAGAAGATCAGCCATCTGCGTCAAGTCCTTATTTTGAACTTGTTTTTTCTCGTTCTGCTCATTGAAAAGCACGGTAAGAGACTCCAAGAACGCAGATGATACAGCGCCGCTTTCCGCAGATGAAGTGCGTCTGCCGTTGTCACCGAATCCATTGCGTCAGTTAGAACTCAGCCTACCCCTATCTTGTTCTAACTAATGTATTCTGGCACTTGTAATGCACCTACACCGTACTCCAATCGGCAATCTTACCGGCATATGACTCTCCGGCGACATAAAACTCGTTCTCGGCGAGCTCGTGGAAGAGCGTGAAGAACTGCTGCAGGGCTTCAAGCAAGTTCCGGCCCACGTCCGTCTCGTTCCTCGCGTAGCCCTGTTCCTTCCCGGTGAAGCTGAACCCCGCGCCCACCGGGTTGTCGACGTAGAGCACAGAAAAGCTTCTGGTCCAGGTGGACTCCCGAAGCTTAGGAATTCCAGTGTCAGTGATGACAAACGGACCACTTTCAGTGAAGAGTCCCATCATGGACGAACTTCCCGGACCCCCCTGAAGCCAGAGGATCACAGGAGCAGTTTCTGGGCTCTCCTGCAAAGAGCAAGCGCTTCTTCAGATAACAGAGAACCGCTGCTCAAATCTCCATACAAAAGTGTAAAGTAATGAGAGAACTGAAGTTTGTCATAACCAAGGAAGACCTTTCCACCCTCCGTGGCATGGGCGCTGCCATCCTGAAAGCACGTGACGCGGCCCCCGTAGCTCGTCGCTCCGCGCTCGATTTCCCCACTGCGCCTTGGCCAATGTGTTGTATTCTTGTTCTTCGTCGCGTTTCATTGACTTTCTTCGTCCGATATTTATCCTTTGATACCATGCCATCATGTGCACAACTTCTGCCACTATGTTATTTCATCACCTTTTGACTATTTTTGTCGTCGGCGTACCGGTTAGGTGTGAAAATGAGGAAGGCACATGAATAGTGCGTTTAGAATCGTGACAAAAATAGTCGGCACTACAGGTTCGCGCCTTCGCAGGTTGTCGTCATATTTCTGCGGAGCGGCGCTGCTTTTAAGGTCAGAGCAGAGCCGTATATTAGGAGAGTTTGGGCAATGGGCGGAGCAGAGGCCGCCGCCAGCGCCGAATATTCCCCCCGCGGTTAGAGCGAAAACTAAAGGTGCGACACAGCGTCGACCAATCAGCAGACCGCGTCGTAAGAATATTGGAAACGACATTTAAAGCGTGAAAATGAAGCGTTCAATCTTGGGCTCTCGGTGACAGTTTGCTCTCGGCCGGCTTGATAGAACAGCGTCTCAGCTGAGACTGGCTGAAAGAAAACAGTGAAAAGGGAGTGGCGCGCGAGCGTCTTCTGACGCAAAGTCCCGCTCGGCTCGTGCGCTGGCTTTGGCAGTGCTTTCTTTCCCCGTCTCAGCTGAAACGTTGTTTCTAGCTAGTCGTCCCTGGTTTGGAGCGCACGTTCGTTTATTCTACCTTTGAATATGGGCGCGACGAAAACCTCACATGCGCCAAGTTTTTAGTTACCAATAGTTATACCTTTTTACTGGAGCGACGCTAAAACGGCTTAAATTAGTCGAGTCGCGTTTTTAGAGCTCATGATCACCGCTACAGGCTCTTTCGCGGCCTGTGGTTGGCTCCGAGGTGGTCGGCTATGCAAACCAATGTTTGGCCAAACCCTCCCAATAGAGGGCTCGGGGTCAGAGTGCGTAACGACATTTGCTTTATTCTTTTTAAATATTGTTTTGGTGCCTTTTCGAGCAAAAGATTGGTGTCACCTTAGTGTGGCCGGAACGTGGTTGACATGTAGACAATAAAATAGGCGCTAGAATTTCGTTGCAGTATCCAAAAGGGGTAAAGATCTACGGGAAGTTCGGAGACGTTTTAAAGTTTCCCGGCACATCAGGGAGAAGGAGAAAAAAGGAACCAACTACTAATTGGTGCCGAGGAGTGCATGAATGCATCTAAAGATTTCACAATTTCCAACCTTGAAAGTTATTTTTCTTTCCTGTTGCTGGAGACTCGTTCCTTTACTTGAGAGTAAGAACCGTGTTACACCTTTTCCATTGCGCAATAAAGAGAGACACTGCATGCTGGTAGGACAGCCAGATACCTTTGCCGGAAAGAGCCAGAAGAACATGTTGCTGCCCATGTCTTTATTGACGGTGAGGAATCCTGCGTAGCTCGCCACGTCCTCCACGTCCCCCAAGGATCCCACGCGACTCAGGGTCTTGGCTTCTTCCAGACGGCCGTCCTCAATGAAAGGTGTCACGAACAAGGGCTTGTTTTCCGTGTCCGATCTAGTGTTTCGGAAAGCAAGTTTCCATCGAATCAGTGCGTAATCATGCAATGTAGTCTGGGGAAGAGCAAACGCTTTTAATCCCTGTGGAGAAACTTACCGCGGGTATCATCAGCAATATCACTAGCGACAACAAAAACAACTCGTACCGACGAACCAAGCTCTTGGGGTTTGTTTTGAAACCAATTTTATTTTTATTCTTTCAAATCCGTCTATAGACCTTTTTCCCAAGGGCGCCGCCATCTTGAATTGTCGTCACTTCCAGTATGGGCAAAAACATTGTTTAGCCGTCGCCACGCCAATAGAAGGCATTTAAGACGTAAACGTAACCGGCACACATTCTCGTTTTGCCTCCCCTCTATTTTTTTTATATTATTTGCAGGTTGAAACGTTCTGATATTTTTTCGTCGCCCATACCGGATAGGCCTACTTGGCGGTCGGGGGCGAGAGTAAGCGGAAAAGGTCTATATGCTCAAATCAAAATGGGCCTTTTTGAATATGTGGAGATATGTTTTTTTTTATGTTTGTGTCTTGCAATTAATGTAGGGAGGTATTATAAAAGTTTGGCGCTAGCATCGTGGAACACACGTGTATAAGCGCTAACATCGTGGAACAAAACACAAAAGGGAAATGAAGACGCGGAAAAGATCAAAACTTCTCTGAGAACCCAGATTCCTCCTAGAGGTCTATTTCACAGCTGTGTCTAACTATACGTTAGGAAGATACTGAAAGAAAAGCGTTCAAAATCAATCGCTGAGGGTATTCACAGTCGTTCGGCTACGCGTTTTGTGCGCGTCGTGTCCAGGCACTTTAGATTGTCCACTTCTCACCTTTCATTGTCTCTCCCCAAGCTGGCTTCTCTGCGTTATTCACGTGCTTCGGAGCAAAAAAAATATATATATATATATTGAAGGCAAAATTGATTGAGCGCTCCCACCCGATAAGGCAGGCGTGTAAGACTAAACTAATAAATTATGAGACTTAAACGCGAAACACATGCACGACGAAACCTTCCAATCCGACGTGCGGACTGCCGGAATGACGTTGGGGGGCGAAGGTTTTTGTAGCATCGGAGAGCGTTGAAAACCCTCGCCTCCGACCGTCCTATTGCGTGGTCGGACGACGAAACCGTCCGATCCGACGTACGACCAGGCAATACGACGGTCGGAAGCGAGTGTTTTCAACGCTCTCCGGTGCTACGAAAACCCTCGCTCCCCAAGGTCATACCGGCAGTCCGCACGTCGGATCGGACGGTTTCGTCGTACATGTGTTTCGCGCTTTAGACAGAACCAACGCAGCTTTATATTTGATAGTTCCTTGTTCTATTATACCCTGTTTTATTATTTCGTGGTCATCCTTCAATGGTCTTGTTCGTCTGATCATTGTCCTATAGACATCATAGGAAACAGAGCGAAAAACACACGAGGACGAAGAAGAAACCACGGGACGAGCGCTTGTCCCATGTGTTTCTCCTTCGTCTTCGTGTGTTTTACGCGCTGTTTCCTACGACGAATCCCCACCAACAGATGCCTTTCGAAATTCGCGTGCCGATTATTGGAAGGTCGGAGCTACTGCACAAGGCGGAACAACTGGCATCGTGGAACATGCAAGTCATTCCATCAGATAGCGAACGTCGGAGTGCAGCCAACGCTAGGAGCCGACGACGAGCCAACTAAACAGCGTTGAAATTGCAAAGTCACTGTGCTCATCACCTTTTTCTGTGGTGGCTGCGTTTTTGCCATCTAATCCAACCAAACGCATGACGTGGGCCATGACGTTGCGGTTTTAGACCGCCATTTTGCAGGGATTGCACTGCTGGGAACAGAGGGTAGTATTTCGAAAGGGGTCTATTATATCCAATCTGGATATTTCCCTGAGCCATTTCAGTCATCTCTTGAACCTTTTACCGGGGTTCGGTAATAGTACAGGGGCCCTAAACTCGTGAAACACGAAGTTGGAGCCGAAGTTGAGGGAGCGCACCGATTGGACAATCACGACGATGACTTGGCGCTTTTGTCGCCAACATCCAATCGGCGCGCTCCGCGAACTTTCGGCCCGAACTTTGTGTTCCACGAGTTTAGGGCCCTAGGCCTTCATCCCTTGCGTCACGTTGTGCTATACTTGCTTGTTTAATAAAAACTTAACAGTCGAGTTGTTCGTTATTATGGCTGAAGTTAGAGATTGTTCCGGAAAATTGAATATCAGTTGAATATCAGCAGAAAGAACATAGTGAGGCAGTCTTCTTAATACCAAAGACAGGCATTTGACGTTTTTACGAGGTTGTCGAATCGAACTCAAACCCAAGCCGAAAACCGGACCAAAACCGTTATTTTGACCACACCGGAACAAGACCGAATTATAAATTGAACATTTGCTAATGAATCCGAACCAAAAATAAACACGAATCTTATGCGGCGGTTTTAGCTTGATTGGGAAACGATTTGGCGAAACGCAAAGCGAGTCAATTATTCGAATCCTTACTTCTGCTCAGAAAATGCTAATAGAACTGGACCATCGTGCATGTCACGCTCACTACAGCAGTGTATAGCTGATAGCGCAGCGGACCGCTTCATATATACCAACCGGCAACGGCCAGGCGGCGCCAGTAGGGTGAGAGCGCACGGTTATACCCTGTCTCGTTGTAACTTGGCAAAAGGTAAACGATAAGTCCACATTGCGTGCCGAAGGCTTCGAAATGCGCGACGTATACGAGCGCAACACACACATATTGGAGCATGACGCAGCGAAAAGCCTGATACTTCTCCGGAGTTGAGGCGCGCTCCGGTGATAGGCAGCCACGTTCCGATTGACCCGCCAGGGCCGTTGCTTCCTCTCTACTGGCACGTTACGCGATCAGGACTTCCTGGGATACCCAGTATTTCTTGCTTCAGACACTAGGCTAAACGGCGCCACCAGAGTAAAAGCTCACGTTTGAACAATGCAGCCGCCACTCCCAGGGGTACCCAATATTTCTTGTTTCAATCACTAGATGGCGACAAACCAAACCGCATTGCAGGTTGCCTATAGACCAGTGTCCGATATCCTAACCCCCAGCGATAAAAATGGGAAATAATAATCTCAAACGCAGGCTCTTGTAAAGAGGGGGGGCGCGCATAAAACAACATTTTTGCTTTTTACAACGCTCTTGGCGTCGGTGCGGTTCTTGGAGCTTCGTGACTGTGCATTTCTTACCTTCTTGCACTATACTTCGTTTCACCTTTTGTCCGAGCGCGGCCGATGTTATGAGCCGAAGGGCCAATCAAACAGCGCACAAAGCGCAACGTCATGGCGTGCTCCCTGCGCTTGATAGGACTAGCCGGCAGGGGAGCACGCAAAGAGGGACGGCGAATACCGGCTATTCCTATCAACTGCAGAGAGCACACCATGACGTTGTGCCTTTTTCGCTGTTCGATTGGCCCTTCGGCTCATAACATCGGCCGCGCTCGGGCAATACCACCTAGACAGAAGGCCTCCACACGCGTCATCATAGTCAGATCGATCGAGGCGAGAGATTGGGCACGAGTCCTGTGTCAGTGTTCGGCTGCGGCTCGTGGCCAATCAGCGCGTCGAAAGTCGGGCTCGGGTCCAATAGCCGACCGAGCGCGATCCGACTGTGATGACGTTTCATAGAGGAAGAGGAAACCATGCGGAGGCCTTCTGTCTAGGTGGTGTTGGCTCGGGCCTAGGCTGAAACGAAGTATACGATATGGGCAAAGGTTTCTAAAAGAAACTGAGCCTTTCAAAAAACGCAGCCCCCTTCTGTGTCATGACGTCAGCATAAACGAAAATGGCGGCGCCCATGGAACAGAGCAGACACTGGTCTATAGCCGAGCCGGCCGCACAGAATAGCAATGCGGGCAGCGTAAGATAGCGGAGTGGGCCGCATCGCATAGCTGAGCGGGACGCGGCGAATATCGGAGTGGGCCGCACAGGATGGCTGCAAGGGGGCCATAGCGCATAACGAAGCGGGCCACATATGGATAGCGGAGCGTGTCGCACAGGGGTGTTAGAGCGGACCGCATCGGATGGAAAAGCTGACGTAACATCGTCTGAAAACTTTCGTCGCAGCATATAAAGGGATACCACGGTGTCTTTCAGAAGGACGCCATCGCGTGCGTCATACGGTAACTGCGACACATCTTGTAAACTTCGTCGCGCTGTCCGCATTAGTGCGAATACGTTTGCATACGGGCCGTTTGCGCGATAGATCAAAGGAGCACCTTCAAATTCTCAAATCTGTATATTTTAAATCTGCCGCATTTCTTGGTGTTTGGAGAATTGTGTTTGTCCTTTGTTCTTCTTGCTCCCCTTTTCCAGGGATTATTTTCGTCACTGATTCCTGACTGCCATCGAACGAGCATCCAGCCGCACCGACTCTGTTACGATCTATTAAATAAAGTATTTAACACACACCAGTTCCGTTTCCCCGCTAAATTTGGCAAAGAAATATTCTTTGTGTCACCCCAATTTCTCTCCTCCCTCCTCTCTCCCGATCTTCCTCCTCACCCTCCTCTGCTGCGCTCTCCCCTCCCCATTGACTTCCTTCCCCTCTCAGCCCTTCCCGCTCCCCATCTGCATTGCTTCCCCTCCCTCTTTCTCTCTCCCACGCCCTCTCCTCTCCCCATTCTTCCCCCCTCCTACAGTGCCCTTTCCCCCTCCTCCCTCCCCACTTGACGTTCTTCCCCTTCCCCCCTCCCCGGTCACGTGGCACACCAATTCAGTCTCCTCAAAATTTATACAAATATATAGGTTCATCACTACCGCAACAACTGTTTAGTTCCTTCCAAACAACTGAAACAGCATTTCATGCATCATAGAAGTTTGAAAGTTGAAACCGTTGTAAATTTTTTGCATCGTTTCTTTTAGTACGCGATGATAAATACAGCGCCTGAATATACAAGCAGGTCCTAATTTGGATAATTCGCTCGCACGCCTGCTTGCCAGCATCTTCAAATCGTCCTTTAGCCTAGTAATGTCATATTGCTTGCACGCTGGGCAGTATTTTGTGGCACATTAAGCATTCAGTGAAATAGTTTTGGCCACCGCATTTTGTTTGCGCGGAGAATGAGTTCACACCATCTCTCTATATCAGTAGGGGATAGAGTTGTCATTGTCCATCGTCGGTGTGGCTTACTGTCTACTGACAGGACCAAACATGACTCGGCTAATTTGAGATACAAAACAAGAAATATTCCGGGAAAACCCGTTTAAAGAAAATTCGACCAGTTTCAAAAGTAGCGTAAACTCACTTGAAGGGTTTCGTACCGGTGCATATCGACGTGCTTTCGGCCAAAAGTAGCCATATCACTGCAGTAGACTTCATCCCAATACCTCCGTCCTTCACGTACTGTATTGCCTAGAAGCTGACGACCTCCTTGTGTCAAGAGAATAATATCAAGACTGAACCTCGACCGATAATATTATCCGCCCCGCAAGCCAGTCTCTAATGGAAAATTTTCCTGGCCGCTTGTTTGAACAATCGTACTGCATTGATAAGATTGCATATCCAGCGCTATAAGCCTGGATAAAATTGTATCTCTCAAGCCATAGGCTCGTCCATACCCCTGGCAGATCGCCTCGAGAAGCGGCCGCCGAAATGAAAAAGGTAGAGCGGCAGAAAACGGATGAGAGGAACGCAAGGGGGTTATATATAACAACTTCTGGAGTGGAAGTGGTGCCCCGTAGCTGACGCCAAAAACGCCGACCGTCGCCATCTTACTCTGGGCAGAAAACGGATCTACGCAGCAACGTTACTCTTGCGCGCAGTCTGGGGCGTAGTATACGACTGAGGTGGTTTCTGATGTGATGTGCTGCGTTTCATTGAGAAGCCACTGCAGCCGTTCCCGAAGGCGATGGTGGGCTCCTGCGTCGCTTTCGGCTGCGTAAATCGCGTAAAAGCACAGAAAAAAAAAATAATTTGCGTGTGTAACCATGCAGCAAGCACGTTGCAACTTGCAACGAATCTCACTCGCTCTCTATAGACAATTGCAAGGATGGCGCCACAAGTGGTGCCCCATGCGTGCAAGCGCGAAAAACGCGCGGGTGAACGTAGCTTTGGCAAGCTCGTAATCGCACGGGCGTGCCTGCTCGAGCAGAGACATGGCGGCGGCCAGTCGCCCAGCTTGCAATCGTCTATAGCTTACTACTTATTGTACGTGAGCAGGCTTACGGGAGAAAGTTCGTTGATTATGTGCATTTGAACGGCAAAATAAAGCCTTAAGGCCACGGTCCCACTGAATGTGGCAGTTTAGGTACTTTTTGGCAGGTCATTACTCATCTCCTTATTAATACTGTTTTGTGGGATTGATGTCATTCGAAAGGTAATGCAATCCTCTTTCATTTGATATTATGTATCTGTTGGTTTTTACTGTTCATGCGCGTTTGTAGCGTTGCGAATATGATGGCGCGGACCCTCACTTGCTCCGCTAGTTCATGTTTTATGAACGATCCATTAAAGATAGCACGGTTCCAATATAGCAGTTTTGTTAAGATGATGCCGGAGCAAAAGGTAACGATACACTTTTTTGGTATTTGCACTACTTTGTTTTTTTCATCCCTCCAAATATTGCCCTAAAATTGACATTTTTCAACACAAATATGTTTTTATTGACAAGCGCTAGGGCAATGAAATTAGCTACAGATGTAGTGCTTATAATTGGTAATATGCAGAAAAAAAAATTTAATGTTGTGTAAAAATTTGTTGTTTAGATATTTTATATCAAACGTAGCACTTTTTTGTACTTTGAGTCATCGTACTTCAAGTGCCGCTGAGGAAATAATTACACTATGATAAAATATTTTATAAAATTTAGATCTACAATGGTTGCCCAAGAGGTGGACGATGGCTTTTTTTCATTTTCAAAGTCATAACGTTCCAGGAGCCCTTCAAACTTACCTGTTTTTGACGCATATCTTTTTGGACATCAAACAGATTTATTGGCATCTAATTACATTTATTGTTTGGAAGAGACATACATTGCGATGTATTATATTTTCACAATGATCTTGCTTTGGTTTCATAATAGGTGTAGAGCTTAGCTAATTTTAAAAACAATTAAAAACTGTTTGGGTGTTTTGTTGCGCCACCTGGCGGATGGCAGACAAAGTGCTGATTTCTAGTGTTCGAAAAATTTCCGAGGGCGGCGTTGGCGTCTGTATCATCATCAATCGCCGTGTCTTTTTACCTTCACATGTAAAAAATATATTGGATGATTTACTATCGATAAATGAATGGTTTAAGTACTGGGTCAGGCTAATAAATTTAAGACAAATAATTACACACGCGTAGCGTGATATAATGTGTTAATTATTCGATATGATTGAAATCAATAAACAATAAAGACGAAGAGGAAAATAACACACCCGAGTTCACTTCATGCCTAGAGTCACTGAATGAGCTTTAAAGTATCGGCACTCCGTTCCCCAAAATTAATTTGGGCGCCGCCATTTTGGGTCCTGTTCAGTGCAAACGCAACTGCCGATCGTCATGATCCAAAAGCACGACTTCCTCAGCATTAGATGCGGTGCTAGGAAGCTGATGCAATATTGCAATGCTCTGTCGCGGGTTGTTTAAACATTTGTGGGGGACGGAAAAGCGTTTCCTGTGATTTTAAATAAAGCTTCAGGTAACTGGCAACCATGATTTTAAGCCACTATATGGCCAAGTGTCGTTACTCTGAACCGTAGCTATACTTCGTTTCACCTTATCTGCGAGCGAGGCTAAAGCTAGAAGCGCGAGACCAGCGCTTTTTGCGTTTCTCCCCAGCTCGCGCGCTCGAGCAAAGCCTGAACGCACGGAGCTTTCGTGCTCGCGCTTCCAGCTTGGCCTTCGCTCGCACATAAGGGCTATGTTCCAAATCTTACCCGAGTTATCCCGAGTAACCTGTCTCCTACGTCAGCAGGTAATACCACGTGACATCGCGAGTAAACGATCCGCGACTCGATTTTGGAACGGCCAGGATAATCACCTGGATACTACGCGGATTGGCTTCGTCTTGGGCGACGGCAAAAAGAAAACACAGCAGCGATGGCCGAAAATAGCAGACGATCCTTTCTCCTGCGATCATGGAGAAAGCACCCGAAGAACGGTAATGTTAATGACGACGCGGTGTTTTTTGAGGTGGATCCACCAGCTCCTTTTACTCACCTTCGTTTTGAGCTTATATTGAGATCAAAATTACTTACTCCTTACAGCTAGACATAAAAAAATGTGTTTTTATTAATCAGCGCGATCGCTGCAATTCTAGCCACGGTGCCCTAAACGCATATATTCCACGCCGATTATGTTTTGCAGGAATATATTCCACACGGTGTAGCGGTACAGCGCGAGGGTGCTTTCTCCAGAATGATATGAAACTCACGTTCGCTTTGACGCGAATGTGATTACAGTGAAATTTTCGAAGCATTCACTGCTTTACAAACCTTATCCTCTCGTTACACACACTCTGAAGGAAACAAAAATACTACATTATCATGTACCGAGTTCAAACATTTTCGGCCTTGAACGTGAGAATACGGCATTCCCCCAACGCCGAGGACGAGGATGCGGAGAAGCTCCTGTTTACGCTCGCACTCAGATAAATAACAAGTACACGTTCCCGGGGAACGTGGGCGGTGTGGATGTAATGCAGTCAATTCCTGCGTTGACAACAGCAAATCGCAATAACCACACATGCTGCACCTAATTCTTCGTCATTTCGAACGTCCGCCACCAAAACCAACGAAGCAAGCGAGCTTTGACGGCTGTCGGCGCAGAAAGCAGACGACGAACAGATCACGTGACGTATTTACTCGATTTGATCCGACTTTACCCCCCGATCGAGGAGGGTAGCGCGAGTAATTACTCCGGAGTAAACAACCCGCTTCTGGAACGCGAGTTCTGACGTCATCGAGTAAGCTCGAGTAAGTTTTGGAACGCCACGGTACGAAACTTTTACTCCGGAGTCGGATCGAGTAAATTTTGGAACACAGCCAAGGTGAAACGAAGTATAATTTACTGGCACAAGCGGGAACAATGAAGAAGAGGCAGGTGTCAAAAGGTAGTGGCTTGTGGAATCCACGGGGCTTACGTCTTGGCCCCTCCAGGTATTACAAGCCTCATGAACAAGAGCATGAATAGTGTCATTAAATAAGCTACGCGTCAGAGTAGCGACACTTGGCCATATTGTGGCTTAAAATCATGGTTGCCAGTTATTTGAAGCTTCATCTGAAATCACAAGAAACGCTTTTCCGTCCTCCACTTTAAACAGTGTGCGACAAAGCGAAGCAACATTACATGAGCTTCCTAACACCGAATCTAATGCTGAGGATGTCGCACTTTTGAATCATGACGATAGGCAGTTGCGCCTGCTCTGCACAAGCACCAAAATGGCGGCCTTCACAACACTGTCGGGGAAGAGAGTGCCGATACTCTCAGCGCAGCTAATTTATTTGCTCTAGTTCCCGCGAAACTCCTTTCCCCTGACTCAAACTGAAAGGAAATATGAATAATACACCAGCATTATAGCTTATTTAGTTATAACCAACTACACATAATGAGAGGAGGAAGCGGCCGGGTAGGAGAAACGCGGGTTTTATGTGCGACCGTTCTAACCGTCTCAAAAGAGAGAACGCGCGAGCTTGCGCTGGTTTAAAAAAAAAGGCATCCAAAGAAAAGAGGCGGCACGCTGTGCTCTTTGTTATTATGCGTCTAATTGCAAATTGTTGTGTGTATGTTTATACAGCCGGAAGTTAGTCCGCCTCAGTGGGCGTCTGACTCTCAGCTGTAGATGAGCAATTTAGCCAGTGCGGTACAACCGCAAACCTGGTGTCTTCAACGTGCACCACGCAGTAGTGATACACAACCGCACGCCGGTAGGATGCTCTTCCAGATCGAAACGGGCAGGGGCGGGGTGGCTTCTGCAGCGCGAGCTTTCGCTCCAAGTGCTCCGAGCTGGTGTGCGCTAGACCATGCACTTGGCCACCGACCCCCCCCCCCGCTTGTGCGTCTAATTTATATACAGGTATAAGTATTTACAGATCGACGATGGACGTCGATCGTCTCGAGGTAATGTAACATAATAACATTATATAAATAATAAACTTGTTGAAGAACTCAACGACTCAATTTTTTAATTCTTGGATTGTAATATGGCGGTAGCCTATTGTACTTGCTGTTGGTGAAGAGCAATATGAGGTGACGAGGTAATGATTAAATGATGAGGCTCCATAAGGACGACGACATTAGTGAGTGTCGAACCACAACGTACAGTGCCATACTTGTTTCAAGTATCGTGTACCCAAAGACTTTCTTCACCCGCAACAGAATATGGTAGAATCAATGAGAATGCTACTTTACAACTGTACGTGGAACAGGAAAACTGCACTGTGCAGAAGTGCTGCTTATTCGTTAATAGGAGGGACGGATTTCTAGCAGCATTCCCTGATTGATTACTTAGAACAAATGGCCTCATTGACGTAAAGTGTCCCCGTTACAAAG